CAAAATGCCTCCTGACCGCAGAGCCCTCGGAGGTGGAGGGCCAGTGGGTTTCCAGGCCCTGCTCTTCCCCCACCGCCGCCTCCTCCTCCTCCTGGGGCCGATTCTCGGGTTGCACGACGCCAACGCTCGCCTCCCGTTTTCCCATCCGAGAATCGCCTCCCGCGTTCCCACTTGAGAATCGCCCGGGTGCTTTTTGTGTTCTCCGTTCGGGGGCGGGGTGGGGGAAAGGGTTCCGACCTCAATGCGGGGGATCCCGCTGGAGAAGCGAGGACCTGGATCCGGAAGCCTCCGACCCCCCCACCGACGCCTCTCTCTTTCTCTCTCTCCCTCCCTCTCGCCTTCCTCCCGGCCGCAGCCACCCCTCGGAAGCAGCGGCGCGAACGCACCACCTTCACCCGCTCGCAGCTGGACGTGCTGGAGGCCCTCTTCGCCAAGACCCGCTACCCGGACATCTTCATGCGCGAGGAGGTGGCCCTCAAGATCAACCTGCCCGAGTCCCGAGTCCAGGTCGGCCGCCGCTGCCGGAGGGAGGGAGGGACGGCGGGGCGCAGGGGCGCAGGGGCGCAGGAGCTTTTCGGGGTCTGGAAGGGTGTCTGTTAGGGGCGTCGCCGCCGGGGACGGGGCTTGTAGGCAAGGCTCCCTCTAAGCCGTGGAGTCCTGTGAGCCAAAATTCTACTTTGTGAGCTGCCGGCATTCAAGTGGTGAGCCAGCGACTGGGCCGCTGCATCGATCAGTTTGCTCTGGAGCCCTCCTCCCTGAACGAAGACACACACAAAAAAGTCTGTGTGCTGGAGGCTACAAAACGGTGAGCTCGCTCACACTCACTCAGCTTAGAGGGAACCCTGCTTGCAGGCCTTTGCTGCGTCCCGGGCAGCGGAAGGAACCGGAGCGCATCTCTCCAAAACGCACAAAAGGGCCGGCCGGCCTCCCCTCCGGTCCCAGGCCGAGCTGTTCGGGATTGCCTCGCCGTCGGAACTGCTTCTCTGGCGGCCAGATCTGGCGGCCGGTCTGGGGACGAGAGAGCCTTCTCTCGGGTCTCCAGGACGGCAAACGGATCTCTTTCCCCCCCTTCTTCGTCTTCTTTTTTAAGTAAAAGAGGGACTAACTGAGCCTAAACGCTTTCGAAGAGGCACGATCCATCCAAAAGCCGCCACACCCCCCCCCCGATTCCTGCGCAGTCTGATCCTACAAAGGAGTACTCAGAAATAATTTCCGTTGAACTGGGATTTGCTCCCGCGCTGCAACATATATATTGTTTTTCTCCCGGGTGATGCTCAATTCGTTTTCACCAGTCCTCTTGATTTTCAGCGCAACGGGAGTCGTTCCGGGCCCAGGATAAGAGGCCCCTAAAACACACTTTTGGGCGGCGATCACACCCCACGAAAGAATCCACATTTCTAATCCACTTCCAATGCACTTTCCAACTGGATTTTACCAGTTCCCACTGTCAAATCCAATTGGAAAGCGCATTGGAAGCGGATTGAAAGTGCATTTATTCACATCGCAGCCTTTTCCTCGCAAGAGGGGTTCCCTTACTTTCCAGCAAAAGCGCAGAAAACTCAGGACACTATAAGTGGGAAAAGGGGATTGGCACCAATGCTCCCTCTAAACTGTGGAGTCTTGTGAGCAAAAATCCAACTTTGGGAGCTACTGGCATTAAAGTTGTGAGCGAGGGATTTGGCTCCTGCATCAATCAGTTTGCTCTGGAGCCATCCTTCCCGAGCGAAGGCAAAATTCTGTGAGCCAGAGGCTAGAAAACTGTGAGCTGGCTCACACTGATTCAGCTTAGAGGGAACACTGATTGGCACCTTAATCCGGAACGGGTTTACCGCAACGATCCTAACTATTAACAAGGTCTCGGCTGGGGCTTTACCCTTTAGTCAGTCCAAATCGCCTCCTTCTGTAGTGATTGGCACCTTAATCCGGAACGGGTTTGCCGCAACGATCCTAACTATCAGCAAGGTCTAGCTGGGGCTTTACCTTTTAGTCGGTCCAAATCGCCTCCTTCTGTGGAAACAAAATCCCGTCTGTTTCGAGCACAACCTGCCTACGTTGACAGTTCCCGTCCCCAGAAGTTTTGTATGCGGAGCTGCGATGTCAGGGATTTAGTTCTGGGACTTCGGTAGGACAAGCCCCCAAGTCATGGTCTTGGGATCTTAGAATCCGGATCCCGCTCACCTTCGACTTAGAAGCAAGGCTGAGATCGCACGCGCGAAATAACGCGCGTCCAACCCACTTTCGATACACTTTCCAAGGCACTGTCATTTTGGGGACTCTCGCGTCCAAACTGGATCGCTGAGATCGCACGCGCGAAATAACGCGCGTTCAAGTCATTTTCGATGCACTTTCCAAGGCTGGGTTTTGGGCCACGGTCCGCACTGTCATTTTGGGGACTCTCGCGTCCGAACTGGATCAAAAGCGTGTTGTTTCGACTGTGCGATCGCCGCCAGAGTCACCCTGAAACCAACCGGGTTGACTCCCAAATAAGTGCAGGCGGAATGACTATTTGTACTCCTTTGGGAAAAGTGCGCCTGGCACGAGAAAGCTCCCACCTCGAATCCACCTTTGTCGGTCTTAAAGGTGCCCCCCGGACTCCGGATTTGTTCTACTCCTTTTAGACTGGGGACCGATGTTCCTTCTAAGCTGTGGAGTCCCTGTGAGCAAGAATTCTACTTTGGGAGCGACTGGCATTAAAGTTGCGAGAGAGCGATTTGGCTCCTGCGTCAATCCGTTTGCTCTGGAGCCCTCCTTCCCGAGCAGTGCGTGAGCCAGAAGCTAAAAAACTGCGAGCTAGCTCACACTAACTCAGCTTAGAGGGAACACTGCTGGGGGACATGCGGTGAGACTGTCGGCGACTTCTCTGCGCGTGCGCCCCCCGACCCCCCCAGTTGGGCACAACTCATTCCTGGCTCGTTGATTCGAGATTCTCCAACTTCTACTAAACTTTACCCATCGACTTGGCTGTGACGGGCAACAGATGTGTATCTCTCTCTTCTCTTGGGGAGAAATGTGTAAGATTGTAGGTCTTTGGGAGTGGGTCGGAGTAAGCGCCTCACCCAGAACCAGGAGAAGGAAGACTTCGGGTTTTTTCCAAAATAATGCAGTCTTAGCTCGGATTTCCAACCCATTGAGAGGCGCATAAAGGGAAGGTCTCTGCCCCCCTCTCCTGGGCCCTTTTGGCTTCTCCAGCGTCTTGGTGCTGTAACCAGAGGAGCTTGATAAAGGCCTGCTAATTTCCCGCGTCTGCAGCTACTGTAAGGTTTGGAAGAAAGAAGCGGAGACGCTGCGTGTCAGGGAACCGTCTCCAGGTTGACAGGTGTAGACAGGTGAACCAAAAGGGGAAGGGGAGGCTTAGAGGGTCGTCCTTCCGTGGGTTTTTTTTTTTTGGGGGGGGGAGGGCTGCGCCTGTTCTCTCTGCAGCCACGAACTAGCAGAGGTCCCGGCTTGATACCCTGCCTTGCCTGGGAGAAACCTTCCTTCGCAGGATCCGGCTGCGCAGCGGGTCGCAGCAAGCGGTAGATTCCTGGCAGAGGCCCCGCTCCACACGCAGAAGGTCCCAGGTTCAATCCCCGGCCTCTCCGGCTCAATGGGTCGGCGGGTGAAAGAGCTCTGCCGGAGAACCGCTGCCGGTCCGAGCAGACGATACTGGCCTCGGTGGACCGAAGCGGGTCTGATTCCATCGCAGGCAGCTTCTTGCGCGCTAGAAAGGGGGAGTGGCGAGCCCCTTGGAGATGGGTGAGCGGAGGGTTAGAAGGGTCGAAAAGCAGTGTTCCCTCTAAGCCGAGTCAGTGTGAGCCAGCTCAGGGTTCTTTAGCCTCCGGCTCACAGATTTTTGTCTTAGCTCCGGAAGGATGGCTCCGGAGCAAACTAACTTATGCAGCAGCCACATCGGTCACTCACAGTTTTAAAGCCAGGAGCTCACAAAGTAGTATTTTTGCTCACAGCTTTAAAGCCAGGAGCTTGCAAGCTAGAATTGTTGCTCATAAGACTCCACGGCTGAGAGGGAGCGTTGGTCGAGAGGCCTGGTTGGGATTTGGGAGGCCTTGACGCCTGGAAAGGGCCCGTGTTGGCACGCCCAACCTGCTCCGCCATTCGAACACAGACGGCACCTCGACTTCCCGAGCGGAGCGCTTCCTCTTCGAGAATCAGGCGCGTCAGAACTTCTGGGGCACTTCTGGGCCGGGGTGTGTGTTCCGGTCGGACTTCCTAAACGACATCGGCGGCCTTGCTCTGCATCTTCCTTCGGTGCCTTTGGGGCAGTGTTCCGCCAATGTTCCCTCTAAGCTGAGTTAGTGTGAGCTAGCTCACAGTTTTTTTAGCCTCTGGCTCACACATTTTTGTCTTAGCTCAGGAAGGAGGGCTCCAGAGCAAACTAATTTATACAGTAGCCAAATGGCTTGCTCACTACTTTTAATGCCAGTAGCTCACAAAGTAGAATTTTTGTTCACAAGACTCCACAGCTTAGAGGGAACATTGGTGTTCCCTCTAAGCGGAGTGAGTGTGAGCCAGCTCACCGTTCTGTAGCCTCCCGGCTCACACATTTTGGCCTGCGCTCAGGGAGGAGGGCTCCAGAGCGGACTCATCGAGGCAGCAGCCCAATCGCTCGCTCACCACTTTCACGCCAGTCGCTCACAGAGTAGGATTTTTGCTCCACCGCTTAAAGGGGAGCGTTGCGTTTTGAGCTGTCGGTTTTTGAACTGCTCCAGCACGGTCCTCCGCCTCCCGCTTGGAGAAGTTATATAACTTGGGGAAGGGAGAATTGCATAACTCCCGTCTGGAGGCAGACGGCCCCGGAGGAACCTGTTGTGAGAAGGTTAGAAGGCCGGAAGAAGAAAAGGGGGTTTTGTTGTTGTTTCTTCCGGGGGGGGGCCGGTTCTTCCCCCAATCTTCGCCAGGCAGTGCTAAATCTAGAGGCCCGCTGCAACAGAGGGGCCAGTTCTCTCCCCTCCCCTCCTTTTTTTGGTTTTTTTTTAAGAACAGTGTTCCCTCTAGGATGAGTTAGTGTGAGCGAGCTCAGTTTTTTAGCCTCCAGCTCAGACATTTTTTTGTGTGCCTTCGCTCAGGAACCAACGTTCCCTCTAAGCTGTGGAGTCTTGTGAGCAGGAATTCTACTTTGTGAGCTACTGGCCTTAAAGTTGCGAGCAAGCGATTTGGCTCCTGCATAGATTAGTTTGCTCTGGAGCCCTCCTTCCCGAGCTGAGACGAAAATGTGTGAGCCGGAGGCTAAAGAACTCTGAGCTAGCTCACACTAACTCAGCTTAGAGGGAACACTGCTCCAGACTGAGCAAGCTAATTGATGCAGCAGCCAGATCGCTCGCTCACCACTCGAATGCCAGCAGCTCACAAAGTAGAATTTTGGCTCACCAGACTCCACAGCTCAGAGGGAGCCTTGGTTAAGAAGTAAAACGAAGTAATGTACAAGGTAGATTCAGGCGGGTCGCCCTGCTGCTCTGAGGCAAGAGAACGAAGTTGGAGTCCCCGGGGCACCTTTAAGACCCACAAAGTTT